GTGACAATAATAAAATCATTAAATTGTCACATTTCTGAAGTGTGACAAAATTGAATGTGAGTCAAATCCGCCCATATGTAATTGTTACATGATTTCGACCAATGATAAATTATTGGGCACATGACTTGGAATTTATTTACGACAAAAAAAAATTTTTAATTCAGAGCACTTGCATGAGAGGAAAATACTCGGACTCAAAGCCATTTGTAAGTATTACCTATTCTTTGGGCACTCTGACAAAAATCTAACTTTCACTATTACTACTCTTTTTATTATTATCTATCAATAATGTTATTATTAATATTTGTATTTTCTTCATTTTCATTATCTTCATCAACTTCACTCTCCACTTCTTTCTTCTTTTCTTTGTTGACCCATTCCTGAATTGCCTCTATCGTTTTACTTCTAGGATTGATTTTTTGTTGGTAGAAGTTTTTTATTGTGGAAGCAACAACTCCTTTTCCTTCTCCAAGTAATTTGTGAATTTCCATGGCCATTTCACCAAATGAAAAATTGGGATTCAACCCAGTATTTTTGTTGAATAATTGTCCACAGATTTTCTATTTCTTGTGAATATCATTTATCACTAGTAAGTTGGTCTGTTTTATTTTTAAATTGTTTCCTTCTTGGTTCTATTTTATTGATTATTTGATCGATTTTTTGATTTATAGTATGGAGTTGATTTTGGTAGATTTATAGTGAAGTAGAAAACTCCAATTAATAATCCACAAAAAAGTTCACTGTTGAATGTAAACATTTTTTTTAAAATGTTATTATGGATGAAAATATTGTGTAAATATTTACTGATTATTTGATTGTTTAATAAAATTATGGTTATTAGGATTTGTTATTTACCTGAAAATTAAGTGAATTGGTAATGTTTTTATAATGTTCTAATACAAGGCTGGATTATTTACCTTGTTTCAATGTCAATGAGAGAAAAACAAAGATTTATAAATGTATTCTTGAATGTAAAATTCATTCAAACAATGTTTCTTTTATTGATAAGCAATGCACAATGATGATCATTAATTATGTTTGCATAAAGAAAAACTTTTTTGTAGTAAAAAAAATAAATCAATTTGTTAATAATTATTTTCCTTCTGATGATTTTTGCCTTTTATTAGGTAACAATGCATTATCATGATGCTTCCTTTTTCCAACATTTATTATTTTTCTTTCTTCTTGATAAATTTCATAGGTAATCTTTTCTTTTCTTAGATAAGCTTCAATTGCCTGAGTATCATTTATTTTAAAAATATAAGGAGCAATTTTTTCACCTTGTTCCTTTTTTAAAATACTTCTAATGGTACTGTAATTCTTGGGTTCCATAGTAGATCTGATATAAATTAATTTCATATTAACTATTTTTATATAGAGGTAATTCTATATATCACTGAAGATAACAAATGGGATATTATAAAACTGTTAATTATATAATCACATTACAAATGACTAAATTTTGATCCCTGAAATCCTTGGTAATACCAATGTTCACTTTGTCTGGTTTTGTTGCAGCATGCCCCATATATATAATCATGTATATTGAAAATCATTAACATAAATAAACTAATCAAACCTCACCGAACAAAAAAAAAAGAAAAATGTCTACTGAAAAGACTATTAATTCTGATCAGAGTGAAGGAGAAATTGAAAATGTTGAAGAAAAAGATGATAAAGAAGAAGAAAGTAATTAACTAATTAATTATTGACCCATTAAAAAATTAATAAAAGAATTTTTATTAGAAATATTCAAGAATAATGTATATTTTAAATTTGATTTGATTTTTCAGTTGATCTTCTTGAAGACTATGAAAATGATACCGAGGTAATAAAATAAATTAATGATTTTTATATTAGTCATTAATTGTTTGATTTTTCTTTATTTCTTTTAATAATGCGTATATGCATTTATTTTAGGAAATTGAATTGCTACATTTACGTCTTAATGATATAACAAGCTTAGGCCTTAACAGATTTCCTAATTTAATGGTATTTAAAAAACAAGAAAGATTTTTATAATTCATTATGATTAAAATTAATATATTTATTTCTAGAGATTATGTTTAAGGCAAAATTTAACTACCAAAATTGAAGGACTTGAATCCCTTGTAAATTTAAAAGACTTAGATTTATATGATAATCGAATATCTTATATTGAAAATTTAGATAATTTAATAAATTTAGAGTAAGTGAATTAAATCACTCTTAATTAACTAATTTTCCTACCAAATCCAATTTTTAAACAATTTCATTTGCCATTACACATATATATCTTTTTAGATCTTTAGATTTATCATTTAATAAAATTCATGTAATTGAAAATATAGAAACACTGACTAAATTAACAAATATTTATTTTGTTCAAAATAAAATTTCAAAAATTAAAAATTTGGATTCACTTGTCAACATTACTAATTTAGAATTGGGTGCAAATAGAATCAGGGTTTGTTTTAAATTTATAATCATTAATTATGATGAACTAGTAATTAACAACATATCTATTTTAGGCAATTGAAAATTTGGATAATCTTGTTAATTTAGAACAGCTTTGGCTTGGTAAAAACAAAATTACTGAACTTCAAGTAAGGAAAACAAAATTGCTATATTTAAAATTTTTTTAAAAAATTTAATTATTGATTTTCTTGAATACAATTTTTAATTTTAAAGAATTTAGAAAATCTTAGAAATCTTAAAATTCTTAGTATTCAAAGTAATAGACTAACCAAAATAAAAGGTTTAGAAGGCCTAACTAACCTGGAAGAAATTTATTTAAGTCATAATGGAATTAAAAAAATTGAAGGATTTGACAATAATGTAGATTTTATTATTAATTTTTATATAATTAACTAGTCAAGTTAATTGATTTTTATTTTATTATTTATAATTAATATATATTCTGTATTTATTTATTTGTAAATAGTTGAACTTAAGGGTGATTGATATTAGTAATAATCTTATTGAAAAAATTGAAAATGTCTCACATTTGGAAAACTTGGAAGAATTTTGGGTAGGCAAAAGTTTTTAAAATCTTTATTCTGCCACTTCCATTCTCTTTCCTCATATGAACTTTATTATTATTATTATTATTATTATTATTATTAGTCAAGTAACAATAAAATTTCAGATTTTGAAGAAATATCAAAGGAATTTAGTAATTTAAAGAAATTAACAACAGTTTATTTTGAGGGAAATCCTTTACAAACTAATAATCAGGCAATTTATCGGCTTAAATTAAAAACCATTTTAACACAATTAATTCAAATTGATGCAACGTAAGTATTTAATCTTTTTAATTTTGGTAGGAAAAAAAAAGTACTAATTTAATTTATTTTTTTAGTTATATACACTAAAAAAATTATAAATTTTTATTAAAAATAATTACTATCAATTTCACTCAAATAATTTTACCCCAAGCATCATTTTAATCAAAAATCATCTTCCAACACTATCATTTTCAATTCACTTATATAAAAATAAAAATCTAGTTTTTTAAAGTTGGAAGAATAAATTTTTATTAAAAAAATTTTATTATTATTATCATTATATGGTGCAAGTCACTTAGTCACTGAACTTTTTATTGGCAAAAAAACAAATTGTAGTTTTGAAGATCATTTTTGTTAATTGGGGCATGCTGCAACAAAGTGAACATTTGTATTACCAAGGATTTCGTCACAATTAGTTTTATAATATCCCATTTTCTATCTTGAGTGATAAATAGAACTGACCCCATATAAAAATAATAAAAATTGCTTAGAATTAAATGATATTTGTTGTTATTTTTTTTTGTATATTAAAAAGGCGGTGGTGATTATTAACCTGTTGCTTGCTACTCTATTTATATAGATAAAAAATAGACATGACATAGCTTTTTTTGTTGTTATTAATACTTGTACATGAATACCTGATTATTCAATACATTTTATGTTGTAATTGACATAACAAATAATTGCATCATCCAAATAGTAATAATACCAAGGCCATGCATAAATGAAACTTTTAATAATGTGTCTCTCATAAATCTGATGTTGATCACAGGTATCAGATTTAATCAAAACTTTCTTATCGCAAACAAGTCAACAGGTGCTTTCACACGCCTCATAACTGTGGATTGTTTTCCACAGGCAAGGTGAAAACATGTTGGACAAAACTTTTCTTTATCTTCCCACCATACAGGCATTGATCACTGATGAAGATCAGCATTTGTGTGATGATTGCTTTGTGTCATCACTCTCTCTCACTATAATAAAGTTGATTTAAATAACAAATTCAGTTGGTCAAACAAAAATTAAAAGAAACAGAAAATGATTAATTTATATATAACATACCAAACAAAATCCGAACCATTTTATTTTACTAATATCAGAGTCCAAATGCAATTTCAGGGCCACCAACCCTGCTCTGAATTGCGACCTCCTGGTGCTTGAAATGAGTTGCGGATTCTCTTAATATTCCTCCAGAGTTGTGACTTGGTCACAGAGCCACCTTTACCTAGAGTAGGATCGTTGCAGGCAACTTTTCGTCTAACGTGCCAGCGGCCTTTTCTGGTCTGGTGCTGTGAGGGAAGATTAGTGAAAGTGTAATTGACGATTGATGCAATCTTGGTAAACTACAGAGCTTTGCATCCCCCGGTTTTCAACATCATTGTATCATCGGGAGAAACGTGGTCAGATTAGCCTTGTGTACATGAGGAACGTGTGTGAATGACTGTAATGTTCAGGTAGCAGGCGTGCTTCAACATCTATAAAATTTCCGATATTCAAACATTGCATATTTGAATTGTTTCAATGGTGTGTTGCCTTGACATCTTGTAATTATAATATTATTAATATTGATTACAAAAAGCAAAAAACACAATCTTGATAAGATTCTTTAGTGGTTGTATCCGCCGAATGATATTTACCAACTATTCACCGATTATCCGGTTAATCGGGTGTTGAAAATTTTCATTGTGAATAATCGGTAGTACATAAATATAAAAAATAAAAATTTTTATCCACGAATTACTAATATATTAACATGTAAATACTATTTTATGCACTATTACACTATGACCAACATTCTTTCTATTATAATAACACATCAAGTAATATGAATACCAATTGTGTCATTATTATCTAAAGAATATTTATGCATTGCAGTAACTTCTACTCCAAATGAGCGTCTACAGCTAAACCTTGTCACAGCTGACTATAATTATAACGGATTTTTAAAATTTTGCTTCACATACACATTAAAATATAAAAACATAAAAATCTTTATTCATCCGCTGTGACAAGGTTTGACTGTATTTAGTGAAGCTGGAAACACAATGACAGCTGAACGAATAAAATTGAATCCGTTGTTATTTGTATTTCTTAAAAAAAAATATGCAATGTATTGAAAATATTTTTCTGAGGAATAAATAATTATGGATATTTGGCGGATATTCGGTGAATGACCAATTATCCGGGTGTTGAGTTTTATTGACTGACCGATTATCCGGGTGTTGAGCTTTATTGATTGACCAAGTACTCAAACACCTGGATAATCAACGGATACAACCACTAATACTAATACTAAGATTCTTATAATTACCCAGAAATGATCTGCTCCGCGTTTTGATTCCAATTAATATATTTATAATAACCAAAAAAGACAATAAATATATATCAATGCAAATTAAAACAGTACCTCTGGTCAGTTATTAACATGTCTTCTTGTCTTCTTTAGGAGAACCACGTTTTGTCATTGAAAAATAAGATTGTTTTTCCAAAAAAAATCAATTCGCGTCTGTTGCTTAAAAAAAAATCGTGCAACACCAAGTGCCAATAATAAATAATGACGCGTTTGTCGATCGATCAACAAATTCTTTATTATTATAGAATAAAAAACTCCGAGAAAAGAAATCGAGATAAAGAAACAAGGAATGATGGATAAGTGTTTTAAGGATGGTGGTAGTTATCGCCACCACTTGTCGTCACTCTAGTTTATATATAAAGATTGGTGGTTATTGCGATCGTTGCCACGCGTCATCACACTAGTTAACTATAAACTTTTTTTTTGTTAATGAAAATTCAACATAAAATAATTTTATTCTCTGCACAAACAATCATCATCTTTAGAGTTAGAAGAGGAAGGCTGAAGAATTGGCATTGGAGGTGATAAATTTGGAAAAAAAACTAAAAAATTTTGAGAAAGGTAAAGATCTTGAATGTAAATGGGTTATACATTGAAGGCTGATAAATATTCTAGTTATTATAAAAAATGTCAATCATTCATTGATTCATAGGTGAACCACCAATATAAAAAAAATTATTTTCCATTCATTCATTTTGTTTATTTATTTTTAATTTTGAATGGTTATTTGTTATTTGTTTTTAATTAATTTATCCTCCACCTATTTTATTCTGAATTAATTCGTTTGTTTTTCTGTTCATCCCTTATCTATTACAAGAATCGATTGAAGAGTCAGTTGAGAACAATTTTTATGTTGAATATTTTATATTTATATAATATAATTAACTTGTGCATTTTCCCCCTCTCTTTCTGTTGTTGTCTTTGACAAATTATCTGATGATAATATAGTTTCTACTGGAACCAAGCGTAAGTGGGTTGGAGATCTTGCTGCTATGCAGAATAAACGTTTATTTACTTTTGATCACATTCATTTGGTTGTTTTTCCATCTCTTGCTGCTGTACATCGAGTACAATCAAACCTCATTTTAACGGATCCGTTGAAACGAGATAATGATCGACAGATCAACAGAAAATAATAAAATTTTTTTTTTGTTTAATGAAATTAAAATACTAATTAATAGTCAATTATTTACTGAAAAAAACTAGTAATGGATGTTTGTATTGAATTTTGAATACTATATGATTTTATTTTTTTTTTCAATGATTTTAAAACTTTTAATTCATTATAATCTGCTTGTATATTATTTTGTTCAAGAAAATTAAAAGCAGTTTTAAAAGCTTTTTCACGTTTTTT